AAAGTGCCTGTTCCCCCAACGAAGGAAAGACAAGCTTTCGGCGCCATTTCACACTGCATTTACCAATTCACTTGTAGCTGCGAGTCACGCTACATAGGCCGTACCGAGAGAATGTTGAATTCCAGAGTAAGGGAACATGTACCTAAGTGGGTGCAGCGTGAAATTATCCAGTCTTCCGCTTCGTCTACCACCTGTTCACGAAAGCCACCTGCCTCATCCATAGGTAGACACTTATTGGCCACTTGTCATCCATTCAACCCTGACACACAGTTCACAATCTTGTTGAGACATGCTAACAGCCGCATTCTACATTTCGCCGAGGCTGTCGCGATCAGCAGGATCAAACCGGCACTCTGTGTGCAAAAACAGCTGTTTGTAAACTTAAAGCTCCCATGGACGTAGGGGTGGCAAATCTGTACCCCACCCTGTCTCTAGTTTATCCGGTCACACCCTAGCTGTTGTTATATATATTTTCCTGTTATTGTATTGGCACTGACGAGACAATACGAAATGTTAACATCTGCCAGCTTTCGTCTTCTCACAGCGTTGTTTAAAATGGTTAATAATCCAGATAGATTTCTTTGAAATCCGACACACATTAATGGGTTGGCTATCATCATACATGAACGGTCCCGCTAAAATAGTCACCTTATGTGACTAGTGCTCTGCACCACGTCCAATTACCAGCGGGGTTAAACAAGAATATGCGCTCGGTACATTAACTTCCCTTCTTTGTGTCAATAATTGTAGTTTGGTTAACGAACACGGCGTGCCGCTTTTATTTGTTGATGATATAACATTTGTCCACAAGTACCGACGAGTTGAGCTTCCGAACGCACCATCACTCATGAGAACGTTTTAAGCACAACAGTCGAGTGTCGTATGTCGAGGTCGCTTAACACCCGAAGTATCGATCAAGGTAACCGTGAACGCATCTGTGTAAAACGGTCTATCCGTGATCTTGTAATCAGATATTCTGCTACCTTCATATTCTTAGAACAGATTGAGCACCAGATAGTACGAGCCAGACAATCCTTCGCCAATGTCTCTCATAACATGCATATTATCATAGCTACAGTTAAACTTTTTAAAATCATTAATCGTCCCATCCTGGAGTATCGCAGCATAATCTGAAGAAAACAGACAGAACATCAATAGAAAGCCTATAACGGTCATGTATTAAACCCGTATTAAGAAAAAATTCTATCAGAAACTCTCGGAAGCGATGCCAGCAACTCCATCTCGATCCGCTTTGGCTGCGAAGACTAAAATCTAACGTGAGCCTGCTGCACAGTCTGATTCATGGCAATACCCAATGCAGTCGAATCATCTTAACACTGAAACACAAGTACACGCGAGACCTAGGTAACAAAGACATTACCCTGATTATACCACGATGCAGGATGAATTTGCGGTTTAACTTTCGTCTCATCATATATGCTTCGCTGTGGAATCGGCTGCCATTCACTATCAGGTCGTGTGAGACTGTGCAATCCTTTCGAAGTAAGTTGGGAAGCCACCTCTAGCTGGACACCATTATGTCATATTTTGTGGGGAAGATCATTTGAACATCCATTCACCGAAAGCCCAGGTAACGTCTAATTGGTGTACTACCACCACTACACGCAATGTAATTAATCCTAAGTGTTTACAACGTACTCAAACTGCAAATTTGCCTCCTACAATCGCATAAGACAAACATATGGGGCAAATACCTTGACAGGAATGCAGACAAATATAAGAATATAACTTGATATCGCTCTTTCAAGAGCATGGCATCACCTGTGCGTGTATGTCCTGTGCCAAATATTCTCGCAGGTTTTCACTGGATGAGAAATATGCCCATTGGTATCTTTATGCGGTATATTGTTTCCACCAGAGGCAATACCAACCTGGAGTCTAAATGTGCCACTGGTACTGTGCACCTTGGACCAATCACATATTGTGCGCTCGATACGTTAAAAACTGCTCGGACAAGCGCAGGAAATTTGGCACAGGGACACCGGTTACCGGCTGGGTCTCAATACGAACCAATGGTAACTCTTTCCGACAAAAGATCTGTTAAGGGAGTAGGTTCAAACACCTCATCCTAGGTTGACCAGCTACAGTCAGGCGTACGGTTGGCGATCACTAGCACTGACACTCTCATCCCTGTCTGCCTTCCGTTAACACCCATGTGTCAACCTACTAGGGACCATACCTGTCCCCCATAGACGCATACATTTAACTCTGTGCTTACATCCAAGAAGTCCCATTGGCTAATGTCCCATGACCAATGAGCGTCACTGATAGTGCGTGCAGGTAACCCCTCAGGGAGAGAATGAATTGATGCGCGCGTGAAATTGAATGAACAACACGTTATGTTGATTTTTTAACAAGCTAATTTACTAGCACTATGCGTGAAGTTGCTTGTAAAAAGCATCATCCCATACTTCTACACAAGCTAAGGATTGGTGACCCTCTTCTAAGCTGGATCACTAACTTATTATTTCAAGAACAAACAGTAGAGTTCGGAGCCCTTTATTTCATCCCATACAAGTCGAGTGTGGTGTGAAGCAAGGCGTAGTTCTAGGTCCACGGTTTTTTGGCATTTATTAATGACCTCACACAGTGAATCGTTTAAAACTTCCTAGTTTAGCGCAATACCCAGGTGAATGTTGGCCAGCATCTGCTTCAGAGTGACTACGACACGATACATTGGTGACCAATGGAAAGATTACTGCACTTCAAAGTGAGTAAATACAAGATAATCTCAGTACGACACCAAATCATCTACTCCTAAAGGGTCAGAACGCATGTAATGCAACAAGGTTCCGTTGAACGTGATCTGAGTGTACTGATTCGGGATGACCAAACTCGCTCCATGCCATCCTAAAAGGCAATTTCGGCGCATGTAATTAATGTCCCCACATTATCCCTATACAAAAAGTGCCCTAACAATACACTGACCCATTCACACTATGTGTTATATCTCATGATCATTAGGTGATGGCACTAGTGCAGAACAAACAGTGGGCGGTGTCATAACTCTCCTAAACTCCAGGTAGGAATACTCACACATGTGCTGATGCTAACCCCCCTGGATGGGTCATGTACTGTACGTTTTCATTTATTGACACTGTCTTTTAGCTTATAATTTTCACCCTAACCACCCTACGGGACTTGTCAAGCATTGGTGTTCATACCCGTCATAAACCATTGATCCACTGCACACGCCGTTTGGTCATTTCTTGCCAGTTTAATGATTACGGTGTTGATCAGTAGAATTAATGCATAAACTAATGCAAAGCTTCCACTGTCCGCGATTACAAGCCATGTCCTCAAGAGTTTTCAACCAACTGTGTTATTCATCTTCTGCTCCCCAGCCCGGAAAACATATTGGAACGTTAACAGCTAGTTTGGAAGACAGAGCCTTGAGGTTCGATCGCCGTGTAGTAGATTGACCACTGCGCGATTTCTTCCAGTGGAGCCATTCGCGAGTGAATGAAGCGCGCCGTAAGACGTGACCCAGTCAACTCAGTTGGCGAAGCGACAATAGCTTGTCGAGAGAGGGGCCCACATCACCGAAGACCAGACGCCCAACGTTATCTTTGAAAACGTGGTGTTCCCAACACACAAGAGCTATCCTCCGCAGGCAACCGTTGTCGAAGGCCAAAATCTGACGTAAGTAATTTACGCGGATCGTCCAGCACACACGCAGACATTGTAGAACTTGCCCTTTACCGAGAGTGAAGCGCCGCGACGACACCACGGATGTCTCAGAGTAGCGGAAGTTGGCCGCGGCTTGGCATTACGAAGAGAAAGCTGACTTCCAATTGCGTCATCAGCAGAAACGTCATTCCCAAGGTAGATGAAAATATCTACTGGTTTAGGCTGCTCGCTCGCAAAAATCAGCACTGGGGCAGATAGGTTCCAATTCTGAAGTAAGGCTTCGCATTTCGATGGGGCGAAGGTCATGCCATACCTGGTAGCTTCAATCGCCAGGCTGTTTATAAGTACTTGCGTACTCTGGGGGTCGTAACTGAGCAAGACAATAGCATCAGTATAATCCAAGTAAGTCGCGTGGTTGCCTGGCAGGAGCTCTACGCTAGAACCATAGAGATCTTTCAGAGCGTCCACATCCACAGTTGCGAAGTTGAAGAGAAACGGTGACATGTAGCATCCAGGTTATACACAGCTCGGACGCATGTACTACAACAATCGTCCGTCGAATGTGATCGAGTGTGCTGGTTCAAGATGAGTTAGGCTGCTCCGGGCAATACGAAAAGGCCTCGAAGACTGGAAACCAACACATCGGGCTGCAGTGACAGGCGTTCGTACATATAGACATATTTACTCTCCGGCAGATGCTCAGTAAGTATGTCCGCCCCCATGGCGAACATGCAATGCAGGTCTGCCATCCATAGTTAAAACACGACCTTAATGCCCTGGAGCAGCCTCAACGTCAGCATCCAGGTACGTCACTGGAATGCGCAATCTGCCATACGTGCGGAGGCTGGAATGTTTGGAAGAATTCAGCGAACGATATCACCGATTACGAGGCGACCTGATAATGACACTTATTTTTACACAATGCAAAATTATGTGTGCCACTCCCTAGTGTAACTCAGCAGTAATACAAACCTGAGAGGTCACTCAGTGAAACTCGTAGGACAGTATAGCCGTGTGGAGCGTCGCAGGAATAACTTTTCTAATTCGTGTATGCCACCCATGAAATGCTCTCTCTGAATCGGTCGTTTCCAAACTGATACTAGCAACATTTAAAAGACGGTTGGATGACACACTAGTCCACCTAGATGTTGTTACTTAGCGCAATGTCTCCATGCTAGTCCAAGGACATACCTTGGATTTATTCGCCATTAACTGTGGGTGTTGTGAAAGTACGCGGATTTCAGGACTACAGCGTAACAACCGATAAGTACTTTTTCTCATACGTAAAGTACTAACAGTTCTATTAGTATTTTCAATAACCCCACCAAACTAACCAAGAGGAACGTAAAGCAGTGCTTCTTAACCCGTATAAATTCGTTGCTCATTGTCCACATGCAGTTAAAAGCAATGGGAGAAAGCTGACGTACGGTTTGAACCGCATGCAACATAGGAGAAAAGCCACGCTCAAAAATAAACCGAAAATCGAAATGGAAGAATAGAAAAACGGAATAGATGTGATCACCGGATAAAGATGCAATAAAAATCAAACTGAGAGTATTGAGTGTTCACATTGCGACCTAATCACGTCAATCGCACCGCGGATCTGCAATATGAACAGGAGGCGGAAACGTACTTGATCGGAAACAGGATTAAATATTAAAATTGTGAGAAAAAATAGGCCCACGATTAAAGCTGTGGTAACAACTAAACGAAGATGTGGACACATGTGGAACTCTAGCATTGTGGGTCCAGAATTAGGCCGCTTGTAATGATTCGCGAAATTATGAGAAAAAATCGATTTCCAATAAAATAAAGCCAAAGAAGCGCAGTAAAACACAAGTGGTGCGTCGTGTCGACGCTGAGCTGACACGCGACCATGAGTCGTACGCGGGGGAGGGATATTGTGAGATCTCCCGCGCTCACCATATTATCATTCATCAGCTGGGGTAATCATCATTATACACGTTAGCTAGACGTGGAAAAGATTTCAGCTATCGTACCGCAATACATAAGAAAACAAATGCGACAGAGGAACGCTAGCTGAGGAAACAGTGACGGATGGACATTATTTTGGAGAGCCACCAGCCGGTATTGTGCCGCAAAAAATTATATGATGCTAAGAAATGAGATCGCGGTTGAAGGGGAGGCTGAGAGAGATGGGGAGGGGACAAAGGAAAACAGCACAAATGCCACTGATGTCGGCTCCTAGCCATGTCATCACCGCTTCTCCTCTTCTTCCATTCAAACCACAGGTGCGCAAACAACACGTCGCGGGAGCCGGTGCGCTGGCATGCGTAACACTGGCCGAACCATCGGAGCCTGGTGTGTGAAATGACGGGGATGAGTGATTCTTTCCCTTTTCCTGTGCCGTAAACAAGGCGCCGAACAGGCTCATTGCTCACGCGGTGTTCCCAGCAGATGTGAGCCAAACTGCGGAGGCATCATTGGTCGAACGTAACTAGCCTCTTTATGTCAGCTGATCTAAGGGGCCAGATTTCATAACCGGTTACGCAGCCTTGAATCGGTGATGTTGAGAATACAAGCTAAGGGTCTGAACTACTCGGCCACTGGCCAGTAAGAAGCGCATCGAAATGTCCTGTTCCATGCGCAACTACTAAACCCAGGGTTCGAGATCCAGTTCCCGCATGCATTTGGGTGCCCCCGGACTAAACCAACCAGCATACGACCGTCTGCAGCCGAACGGTAGCGATGTCTCAGAACAAAGCATCGGTGCATGATTGACGGCTTCCCAACGTGATGTTGCATACCATTCAATTAACTGCTGTGTTTACTCCATGGATGCAGGTTACCGAAAACAATAACGATACTAATAATACGATTGGGATTACTACTGGCCAGCGACGCCTGGTACCGAGTTTACGTGTCACTGATCGTGAACAGCCACAGCAGGCCAGGGTACACAGAGAGACCATAGGTAGCATGCACCACCCCTTATATCCAGTGTAAGAACGATGGAATAAGACCGAGAGGCATGAGGATGGGAGTCACCATTGATCCGGAGCCAAACCACACTTCTTTAACATTATTAATAAGGTGACAATATTAATGATAAGCGCTGTTATTGATCAAATCAAAAGCATGATCGCACTAACTTACTGATTGGAAGCACATTGCCTCAAGAGAGTTCGGAAGTTGTGCACCACGGCGTCATCGTTGGAAGTGCCAAAGCCACAGATCGCTCGAAGCGCGGTCAAGTCCCGACTCAATAGAAACAACGCGTGCTTGTATGATGTGAGCAGCGAACTCCGTGGCAAGTACAGCGGGAAACTACGAAGTAATTCAAACGGAAAAGGAAAATTCACCTTCGAGTTAAGCGAACAAAAATGGTACACAGCTGCCTGATAATCGTGTAACGGGAAACGGAAAACATTCGTTCATACCTAGTGGTGAACAAGGGTGCAGACGTACTGGCTACCATTGTGAAATAGTAGATAAGAACGTATACAGAGCGATGGGTGTTAACTAGAGGACAAAAACAAGCACGTGAGTAGGAAATTCAAAGATGCGCCGCAGAATGAAGAATGATGAATTGCAATGCAGTGGTCGTAACAGCAGCAGAAAAAACAGTGACGGTGGGACAGTAGACAGAGTTCACGGGACGCAAATAAATTCGAAATCGATAGGCCCAGTACAACAGTGAACAAACATGAGAAAGCACAGAACGGCAGTTTTGCGGTATTTGGACCTGTCTGCGGGATACATATTCACGAGGGTCCATCCAACCGAGGCCAGCACAGAAGTGAGGGCCTTCATTCCTCTCGACCAAGTCATCGCTTGGCCACTCCTCCTCTTCTTCCATCCACATCCCCGGCGCGCAAACAACGCACGTCGCGGGAGTCGGTGGGCTGGCATGCGTAACACGTGGAAGAGCCGTCGGAACCTGGTGCGTGAAATGACGGTGCTGAGCGGTTAATTTTCTTTTCCTGTACAGTAAACAAGCCGTCGAACACACTCGTTGCTCACGCGGTGTTCCCACTAGATGTGAGCTAAATTGCGAAGGCACAGGTGGTCGAACGTAACTAGCCTCTTCAGATCTGCTGCATTAAGCGGTCAGGTTTCACAACTGTACAGCAGGATCCTGAGTTCCGTTTGTTTTCTTTATTGGCTTCTGTCAAAAGTTTTCTTCAATCATTTTAGCTATCCATGGTATTTTCAAAATCATCCTCAGTAACCACCTTTGAGTTGCCACTAACAGTGTTTCTACCGTTTTACATGTTAACATGGTAGCCAACAACAATGTCACGAGTATGCTAACCAAATGTCTCGTCTTATAATCTCACGGCCAAGCACGAATAAATTTAGTGCCACCAAGTGTTCCCATTAACTGTGTGCTTCGCATTGTCGAATGACGATATTCAATACCCTTGATGTAACTGAAAAAGAGAACTATAACAAAAGCAGTATAGATAGATTACGTAGTAAAAATTTACGATGACATATTTTAGAAATGTGCCCCTCGGCAAAGAAGTAGTGTCGGCAGTACTCCGTGGAATACCTGTCCTTTCGATTTACCGCACCACCTCAAAAGCCCAGACATCTATGTTTTATTTGCCAAAACAAGCTTTTAAATCAAAGTATGCGGCCATGTAAACTGAAAAATCATTAGGAAAGTGTTCATAAGGACGAAAGTGGAGAATCTGTGAATTTTTTTCGGAAGTCTACCCGCTACTTTCGAAAAAAGACGAACTATAAGGACAACGGTGTCTGACAGGGCAAAAAGTGGCGAATGGCGTCTTTTAGAATCAACAAGTTGATTGCTAAAAATTGCAGTGCACATAATGTAGGAGAATATATTATCCTACCTTCATTGGCACTAATACTGTCTGACCTGATGAATATTAATCGACACGAAGCCGTTCAAGTCATTTCGTAGGGCAATGCGACTGTATCTAGGCGAACAGATGAAATGGCTCAGGACATAGAAAGTACCTTTGTTACGTTACTACAGTCTAGAAAATTTTCGTTAAAATTAGATAAATTTGCTTTACCTGACAACAACGCTCTTCTCGTGCTATATGTCCGATCCTTCAATGATAATGAATTAATAGGAGAGATACTGTTTGCCAGGAGAATTAAAACTCATGCCAAGGGTTAGTTTATATTTAAGGTGGGCAATGGCTATCTGACTTAAAACTCTATTCCAACAGAGAGCATAGGTGCATGTGTAACAGATGGTGCTGCGGCAACGATCGGAACAAATAAAGAATTTGTTACTCATCTAAAAATTATTCTTTCTTCTGTTCATACAGTTCAATGTGTTTCATTGAGAGCACCTGGTGGCAAAGAACTTGGGAGGACGCTTAAACGATTCACTGCAAACTGTTAGAATAGTAGTCAACAATAACAAATTGCACCCTCTTCAAGATGGTCCTTTCTAGCAGTTGTGTGAGGAGAATAATGAAGATTTCTAGGTTTTAGTGCTGCGTACAGAAGTTAGATGGCTCTCCAAGGGCAACTGGCTTCGCCGTGCTGTTGTACTCTGGGACACCGTCATCACATTGCTTTCTGGAACTGATTATGAAAGGAAAACTGTTCTCAGCTAAGCCAGATGTGTTATATCTGGATGATGTTTTTGAAAAATTCAAGGCAAGTTGAGTAACCTCATTACTAGCAAAGAAGCCATTGTCGCTTTTCTTATAATCGGAATTGTATTCGCAAAAAATCGGAGGTCGGGAATTGTCACAGTTCCCGTTTCTTGCTACAGGCACGGAGGAACTGAAGGATGAAGACTTGATTGCTTATGTCAGTCAGAATAACTCCGAAAAGTAATGATACACAGGTTTCATGACCTGATTGATGGGAGAAGCCTGATGTTGATTTTAGATCCATTTGATGTACAACCATGTAATGTTGGGGTTAAAATCCAAGAAAGTCTCATGGAGCTTCAAAGTGACACACCAACAAGATCCAACTTCACGCAATAGAAAAGGGATTTTCGGATAACGACTGATGCCCCTAGCAGACTGTGGGAAATATCTGAAATATATTTCATTGCTTTTCCATCTACATACTTGATTGAAAGTGGATTCGGTAGTAGTTTCTCTAATCAAAAGTAGAAACAGATTGGATATCACAGCAAGAGATCTCCGACTGACGTTGTCAAGGCGGGAGCGAGGTATAACAAGCTGGCTCAAGGACATCAGGCATAAGACTCGAATTAATATCTCGACAAAGCAAAGAATAATTAAATACAATATTAAATATTTCTGATGACTTCTGTGCAATTATAGGCAAGTGGCTTGATGTTGCCGCACAATGAGTGATAGGTGGAGGCTGTGAAAGCTAAAAAATGAGGTTTCTAATAAAAACAAATGATACCAACATTAAAAATTAAGCCATCATAAAAAGATGCCAAAATGACCATTAGAAATCATGGATTTACTTGTGTCACATGTTGCGGATTGCTGAACTTGTGGCGCTCATGGGTGGGGGGCCATGAGAAATGAAAAGTTTCAAAAGAGGGCCACGGCTGGATAAAGGTTGAGAATGCCTGCTCTACGGCATAATAGGAGTTTACTCAGATCTATCGCCTTTAGGGCGAGCAGTATGTGTACACCGGAGACAGTCAACGAAGAACTACAGAGAACCAGCGACGCCCTCAGGGAAAATGGTTATCCTGATAAATTTATCATGAAGCATTTGAAGGAATGCAATCGGAATCCATCTAGGAACATTGCTCCTAAGAAAAGGCGTTTCATACCTTTAGTTTTTAAGGATGATTCTGCAGCGGTTATGTTATCCCGACGCCTGAAAGATTCTGTTGAGAAAATTTATTTCGCGGCCCAAATGAGAATTGTTTATCACAACAAGCCGTTGCTTACAAAGCCCTTGAAAAATAGACTGCAGTCGTTGACCCGTTCAACGATCGTCTATCAGTACTCGTGCTTCAGTGGTGCACGATACGTTGGTCGCACTGAGAAGCGCCTAGTTCAGAGGATTCGTGAGCACATCCCGGCATGGTTTTACAAAGGCGAAATGAGGTCCTCAGACAGCTCAATCATGTCGCACCTCTTTGAATGAGGCCATACGCAGCTTGAACAAGTGGACAACTATGTTTACCTGGGAAGCCGTCTGCTGATGGTAGCATTGTAAACGAGATTCCCCTCCGCATTACCGAAGCCCGTTCGGCATTCGCTAACTTGAGACATCTGTGGCGACGCCGTGAAGTTTCACTATTGGTAGAGGGCAGGGTCTACAACGCGTGTTCGCGCGGTGCTGCTGTATGGGAGTGAGTCCTGGCCGATTCGTGTGAATGAATTGCGCTGGATTTCGACCTTTGACAATGGATGTCTGCGGAGAACAGCTCAAGTGTGGTGGATGAACCACGTGCGCAACGATATGGTAGACGTCACGTCCTGGGTAACACGGGACTTCCACTTGACAGACTGGTATCGCTGCGCCAACTGAGATGGCTGGGCCAGGTTTTACGCATGCCATGCGAACGGCTGCCCCGACGCGCTCGCAAAGGACCAGACTGGAAGAAATCGCGCGGGGGTCAGCCTATCACGTGGCGATAAACAAGTAAAGTGCTGACTTCTAGTACGGCTGTCGTAGATCCCGTGCGTCTTCCGGACTGGGGGATTAAAAATGAAGAACACCGCTGGCTGGAAACGTTTTCGGAGATGGCACAGAGCCGGGCCCAATGGAAAATGTGTACAAATGTTTGTCTTGATTGGCTTTATTTACATCGCAAACATTAAACGGACAAAAAAGAGATAAAACGGAGTGTGAAAAAAACAAAAAGCAAAGGCCAACAAAAACTATTTTTGCAACGTTCATTCTTTTCTGTGTGGTCTCTGTATTTATTACCTTCGTCTCATGGTTTTCGCTGGCGCTATGTCTATCTTATAGACTGCTGATTATATATATATATATATATATATATATATATATATATATATATATATATATATATATATATATATATATATATAATCAGCAACTGAGAATAACTTTAAAGTCATCTACTCAATAACTGGACAGTTCTCCCAAACATTCCGCAAACAACTCTCTTCCATCGCCGCGGCTATCTACATCCACCGTCTGAAGCCGGAATTCTGTGTACAAAAACGATTCCTACGGCCGATACTACTAGCTTGACCAACTGACACGGTTATTTAGTTATTTGGTTATCTTACCTACTTAAGTACATCGTACTACCGAGCTTTGTGTATGCATGTTTACTTAGCTCACTTGGTTTACCATCTGTATCCTTGTCTCAAGTTATCGATTTAGATCGTTCAAACAGCCCAGAAGTCAATCCCAGC